TAACTTCACACTCACCAGGATGGAATCTCAGATAATCATAATTAATATGCAGATTCTTTGGTAATTCTATAGAACGCATAGCATCCAACGGAGTTAAATTACTAACGTGTCTTCTGTAGTATTTTTTCAAATCACCTAAAATATATAATACATTTCATAATTTCGTGGAACACGACAATTCGTACTCGTAAGAATCAAATGATAATTTGACGAATAAACCAGATGGATATGTGTAATTTGCTTTAGACTTTAACAAATGATTCACAGCTGTAATGTATTACTAAAAAAAAAAAAAAATGATTAACAATGATGCGAGTAATTCAAAAAAGTTCGTAGTTCTAGGATCTAAATTTTCATAGATATTTCCTCTCATTTAACAATAAAATTGTTTGTAAAATTAAGAATTTCAGAAATTCAAAAAACTGGAAGCTTTCTGTAAAAACTTACCGACCGTTCGGATGTCATACAATACAGAATTCGTTATCAGATGTTGAAATTCTTGCTCGCATGCTAAGAAAAGATTGAAACGTTGCAACGGATCATCGAGTTTTGTTTTATGAGCCGTGGGAATTTGTTGTTGCTCGCAAATCTTGTCTATCCTGTTGTATAAATCTTCCGGTGGTTTGTACTCTTTTTGATATCTCAAAAATCTGAAACAATTGGAATAATTTTGTTAAGATAAGATGAAGAATAATGAAAGAAATTATCTTTTATTTATTTACGCATCAATCTATCGGATGATAATAAATTTGATAAAAAAAAAAATATTGAATCCATTCATTACAACTAAAGGATCATCTCGAAAGTTCCACCGTTTTTTGATTCATCCGTATCGAATGTTGAAAATATCGATTTTGCGGGAGCGACCTAGCTTTCCTGTTTCATGAAACACGTATTTCAGTAAAGCGATCGAACATCGTAATTTCCATGATTATTTGATAAAATTTCGACTTATTATCCACGTCGATATAATTCTAGTCGATCGTAAATGCCAGTCGTTCAACAAAGGTCCAAACAATGTGCATGTAACGATAAATAGTCAAAGTTTCAGTTTATTGAAAGACTATGTTTTCAAACTGAACTCTATAGAAATCATGATGGTCGATAGTCGTTCTTTCTCAATTCTCGAACCAATGTTTAACAACATTCAGAATTCATCGTGACGAAAGTAAAAAAAAAAAAAAAAAAAAACGAACACGTACTGAAAAGAAAAGAAAAGGCTATTTATTTTTTATACGCAAGGATAATGTGGTATATAATTACTTGTTTCGTAATTAATCAATTCGGATGTTACAATTCTCCATTGCAAGTCAATTCGACATGATCGGCTCTGGTATAGAAATTGCTTCGATGCACAAGAGTTTATATATATTAGGAATGCATCCTCTATCGGTAGCGCAGAGGTTTTTCCAATGACTATCTTTGCCGATCGGTCATTGATTTCGCTCGTTGAAAATCAATATTGCCTCTTCTAGGTTATCCCGACACGACTCGCGCCAAACTTTTCGTACCGTGTAAATGTAAAAGACTCCGATTAACGGATGAAGCGCGGCAAGGGAGGTTTCCCTTAGAGGAGGTGGAATGAAGCGTTGGAGGGGAGGGGAGAAGATCGATGTCCAACTACCGTACGGTGGTGCCCTCAGTTGTATTTTCTCACGATACAGTTATGGCCAATATGGGCCAGGAACGAAACGGAACATACAAAAACCCCGTGACTAGGAAAAATTTTTTTTCCTCCACACTCGACTAGGAATTATGTCTTGCCAGAATTGTCAAGGTTCCTAACGAACACCTGGTCGCGTTTAAAGATTGAACGAGTCTGTAACAATGTGAAAATTGACTTGTCCATGCGTCAAGCATAGCGAATTTACCGTATTTTATATGCTTTTTCTTTAGGCACTATTTAAGTAAAATTCGAAATATATTAGTTGTTTGCATAAACTAGAGCAAAGATTTGTTCATTTATTTATTTGTTTCACGCATAAATCGTGATCTATGTAGCAAGAGACGGGCAATAGTTTGTCAATGTTAATTACAAGGACAGAGAAACTTGGTCTTCGAAACAGGTGTTCTCAATAAAAACTGGCACAGTCCGGAGAGCTAAAATATCCAGGAACTAAGTCATTTTTCATATTTTTGTTCTCATCATAAATATTCTGTTTCTCGTTGCATCTGAACGTATACTTATTTTTATTTTAATGGATATTCGAAACATTTAATTATGGCGTTTTTTTTCTCGGAATAATGAAATTTTTTTGGATTTTAAATTGAACATTTAACTATAACTAGTTAGATTTATACGAAAATAAATCGTTCAAGATAAAATTAAATACCTTCTATTTGTTTAAAAAAAAAAAAAAAAATTCTGTAAAAATTCTGTTTGATGAATTATAGCAAATAAAAGTACAAGTTAATCGCTTTTTGGTATCTCGTAGGAACGCTTTGTTAAAAATAAAATGTCGTTTGTACACATTGTATACCTTGTTGTTTCAACAAAAATTCTTATAGTTAGCTGAACTGAACTTCGCGTAAAAAAAGATTGATACTAGTTGTTATGTCATAGGTAGAAACGAATTCAGCTGAATTAATTTCATATCAAAACATCATTCTCAAAGTGAATGCTTCGTTTAATATAAATTTATTGTTTTAATTTTGGAATTTATTAATTCAAACCTAGTAATGCAATTCCGCGAAAATATTGTGCAGATTTCTTTAAGTGCGTTGACTCTATGATGACATATATAATACTATATATATATGTATATTTAGTAATGTATATGTTTCACATTTTACGTTTCAGCAACTTAATATTAAATTTGTAGGACAAAAGTTTTGAACGTATTGTTTTTCTAAATGTGTACTCGATTGATATTTTCCTAGAAACGTCTGTCTCAATACGTTTTCTAGAATAATTTTTATTTCAAAGTAATAATAAAAAGAAAATCTTTTCGTTCAAACGAAAACAAATTAAGAAATAGAAGGGTTAATTTCATCTCTAATTGCACATACCTGAGGAAAGAAGTTGCACAGGATCCAGTTTCGATTATTTTCAGTTTAATCGTATATTTCTCTAATTTGAGAAAAATATAAAACAACTGTTATTAATGTTGTAAATTCTTATCTCATGCTGAAATTTTTGTTAAGACAACCAAAAACTTTCTGTTCGTTGAGATTGAAATACAAAAATTTAAAAATTATAATAGATTTGATTCAGATATATCTATTATCCAAAAAAACGATTGCAAGATAATTTTCCATCTATTTCCCGACTTTTAATAGTGCATATTTCAGATTTAAATCATTTAATCGGACAGTCGAAGTAACAAACATACGAAATATACATAATACGAAAATTTCATCAACATTCTCTAAATTCAGGTCGCGTACAGAGAACAAAATCATTCGAAAAAAGCGTCGTAAACAGAAACATTCAGAAATACTTAACGACAAGTTAATTTCATCCTCAGTCACATGTGTCTACTTAAAAAAAAAAAAAAAGAAAAGTTGCACAAGAAATAGCGAGAAGGTGAGGTGCTAGAAGCGCGTTGTTCTTCCCTGAGAAGCTGTCAAATCCAAAAGTTTATTGGTCGGTGTGTGAAAAAGAGGGGGTAAATGGCAATATGGCCACGGTGTGTCCTCTGCCAGTTAGCCATCCGCGCGATATAACGCGAATATTTCGTTGTTGCGCGTCCGTAAGCTAATCGAATTACTTACCCTTTGCTAGCGAGAGACTTCTTTTCGTCGTCAAACTTGCAAGGTGGCACGTAAGGGCGTTTCTTGCTTTTAAAGCGAATTACATCGTATCGCAGGCTCGTCTGTAAAATGACGGTACTCTCGTTAGTGCGCGTACCATATAACTTGAATTTACTTACTCCCGACAGGGAGTGTCGTGTGACAATGATAATGATTGAAAGGTGTACGTGAAAGAAAGTGTTCTACACTGACCGTGTTCACGGCAAGGATAGTGGGTGAACATTTAAAAGGATTGACGAGCGAACCATGCCTGATGAGCGCCGCCATCTTCTTCCTCTACGTCGAGTAGAACTGCGCGAGTGATCGGTAGGGGTCGCCTCGGGCGGCTGCGCTTGTTGTTTCCCATCGTCCGCCATTTTACGGTCGCCATTGAGAAGTGAAAACCCTCCTAAATGTTCTCGAATAATAGCGGCCTCGCCGTGTGATTTTTCGGGGCCTGAGAGAGGCGCGCCGCCGCGAGAAGTGTTGCTAATGAGTGTACGCCGTACGATGGAGAAGCCATGACGCATCCGTCGCATCAAACGAACGGCGCTAGCCTGGAGGACTGCCACACGAATTTCTTCGCACTGGTGAGTGATCAGTGAGCCCACTCTCTTCACTCTCTAAGACTCATATAGCCGCGTATATCTACTTCGATGTGTGTATCTGAAGAATCGAGACGGAAGATTAGTGACGGAGGCCTCGCAAGATGTCAAACGCCAAGTTGTCCAATGGATATTTAACGGTACCGCGTAATGTCGCGAGCAGAAGTCGCCCGGGTTAACCTATATATCGGAGAATTCCCGTGGGCAGTACTCGATCGTTCGTGTCGACGTCGGTGTTGTGTATCGCGCGGCACTCCCCTCCCCTCCCTATCTCTCATTGCTGTGTATACAGGGTGTTCCAGATTTTTTTTTTTCAAACGAAACCTTTTCTCTGTTCTACATGTATCGATATCAAAAATATGTCATACGAACGTGGGTCGTTCGATGTCTCATATAGAAAGTTTTAAAAAAAGAAAAAAAAAATACAAGATGCGTAAGCAATGGATAATTGGAATTGATAGGTGGTCAGGTGGAATCTCGTGCCGATAGACTTTTATGGTGAACCTCAAAGGAAAAAGTATATCGAGTATTATATATGACACTAGTTACGCGCGATGGCAGAATGCGACAATATAGTGGGAGGGAATTTAAGAATGAGGCCTAAGAGGGAACGAAATTAGGAAAAGCATATATCGAAGAAATAAAAATTGGTAGAGAATTAAAATGATTGAAAGAGACGTAGTTCAATTCAATTTTTTTAACATCATCCATCTTGTGACAAGGACGATAAACGGTTCGATGTAGAATGTTAATAACTGGTTGTCAACCTATTCTCGTTTTGTATCGTAGAAACTGGAAGTTTATTGCCACACCTCTTGTGTTTCGTACGGTTTTTTAATCTACGTTCCGACCGATTTACGTACGTTTATGCGACGTCTTTTTGTTATTTATACGTAATGTACCGAAGAGCCAAAATATCGGATGTATGTTATGTATATAGCGTATCTCGAAGATCACACAAGCAAAGTGAAGGAAAATGTGTAATTTAAAATAACATAAAAGTCGCGAGTTACGAAATTACGAAATTTTTTTCGAGAAAATTCAGTTTGACAGCTTGTCAACTGAGCGAATGTGAACTTGTTTGCCCGAATGGATATGAATGTACAGTCGATAAGAGACGAAAACTATAAAATATTTTTTCATTAGATACTTTGTTTGCGTATCCGACAAGTTTTCAAGTTGAATCTTTTTTTTTTGCTCTTTTTATTTTTATCTTTTGTGAATTTGTCCACACTCTCTCTCTCTCTCTCTCTCTCTCTCTCTCT